TCCCTGAGAATTTGTCTCGAGAGCCGCGGCTCCTCAAATCACCGATAGCTCCAACTTTATGAAGAGATTAGAGACATGGAGGGCCTTGGAGGACGAGGAGGCAGCAGGGTAAGGTGAGCAGCCAGCTGTCTGAAAACAATGGAGACAATAGAAAACACATGTATTATGAGAAAATCTATGCTGCAACCCAGGGACATGAACCATTTTTAATATGTATCCCCCCAGTATAAATAAATAAATGCAATGCAAAATGTGCAAAATGGGGGGTTTGAATTCAATGTGTGTGTGGGGGCTTTCTAACGTCTCCTCTGCCTGCCTCACAGCAGTGGCTCTGTCCTCAGCTTTCTGTTCCTGTGCATTGCAATAGATAATTGAAACACTGTAGATAAATGTAAGTAGCAGTAGCTAACTATCTAGCTTGTTTAATACGCTTTACTTTTCCGTCTTAAGAGTCTTTCATCACCAATATAGAATGTCATATACGCTTAGTTCGTCTTTTACCGTCGTTTTTATAATAGGTACCCAGTCTGCTTTCTTTAATGTTAAACAATATTAACATACATGTGTGTTCATTTTGTAATTCATACTCCGCTATAGTGAGAGAAGAAAGAGAGAGCAGAAGAAAGTCGCCAGTATTGCCCCCAGAAGAGATACTCATCTTTTCATTACTAAAATGGATTTGTTTTGCATTTATTTATTTATAATTATGTCATTTTTTTTTGTTTTTCATAGTTTTTTTTTTTTTTTAACGTCTAGTAGGTGTGGAGCAGTTTTCATACGAACTGGGTCTCCATTGTGTTTGTTTCATACACACACACTCACACACACACACGGAAGCGGGGACGCAATACAGATTGTGGCCTACAGGTGGCAGTAATGTGCCAAAAAAAAACAGAAGAAGTCCGATAGCAAGCTGAGGAACTAGCAGAACCAGAGATAAAATCTTTTTTATTCCACACATTCTTCTTCCTCACCTGAATTACCCACAATTCAGCTGGACCTCTGTTGTGACAACTTTTAACAAACATTCAGGAGAACTCCCCAACACCTGGAAACACACAGAGGTGGGAACATTTAACAGATGTCTCCTACATCAGACAGGTGACAGGTGTAGCCGCAGCAGACTAACCTACCTGTTCTTGACGTGTCCTCACCTTTGTATTTACTGAGCAAACATCTTTACATTCCTGTTCAAAGCTGGGGTCAAACACCTGAACAGGTATGTTTTGTGGTTTAGAACAACAAATGAAAGACTGTTAGAATAAACTCTTCAGAGAAAAAGATATTATTCTTTAATGTATGATCTGGAACAGACTCAGAGGTTGCTGAACTGATTTACAGCGTAAAATGGGACGAGGTCACGAGTGCGGATGAGGATGCGCTTGCCTCCTCTGCCCTCCTGTCTACAGGCCCAGTGTTTTTATGTTACCAAGTAGCTGATCAATATCACTGATCATTATTGAGCTCACATCTGCTCTGCTTTTTCCTCCCCCTGTCGCCCCCCTCCCCTCCCCCGGTAAAGCTGAGTGTTGGACTGAATCCTCTGTTGGAGGTGCTTCTGCTGCAGGATGGAGACTGACCACAGGGAAACGACACCACAGTGAGTGTAAACATATGATGTTGAAGTGATGCAGAGTGTTCAGATACATTAGAGGAGGGAAGACTCCTTCACTTTGTTTTTATTTGTCTTTTAATGTCTCATTTTAATGCATCTCTATGGCTCTGTAAAACACTTTGAACTGTCCTGTGTCTGCATGGTGCTGCATAGATAAACGGACACACAGTACACACCTACAGTTATACCTGAGGCCTGCTGTACTACGAAGCAGGATTTGAGGTTATCGAGGTAAATTACAGTTTAACTCTTTTTTCAGTCCTACGACAGTCATTCACGTCTTACTGGAGTAAATCACCATGGTAACTTTCACTAAACTCCTAACCTGCTCCAGCGCAGGTTACCTTCAGAGGATCAGATCAAAACCTGTCAACCTCCAAACTGCTGACCAATCAGATCACTGGAAAAAAGGAGTCATTATTCTTCCAGGGATCCTGACAGAGACATAAGAGTTTACAATGAAGTGATCAGTAATAAAAAGCAGTAGATACAAAATATAAAAAATCAGTGGAATAGTTTTCCATGTGTCCCCTCTGGTTTTAAAACAGAGTTTAACTAATAAAGGCACAGAGAGTTTATCACGCTAAATGAATACATAATAACTATTTCAGCTTCATTTGAACTGAACAGAGATTCTTTAATCCGGATTCCTGACAGTGATGAAGCTTTTACTCTCTTCTTCATCACTGCAGCTCAGAATAACATGAGGGGACTGGAAATAAAAACTAAACTAAATGATCCACACACTGTTCAATATTTCCATCATAATAAATGAACATTTCAGTCAGACTGACTCATCAGACATCGACTACTTCTCCTCTCTTTTCTTTCTCTCCTCTCTACAGCAGAAACAGCCTGACATGAACTTAAACTGTTTTATCTGCATCTCATGTTCATAACAGTGTGTTCATCATCAGACAAATGTTAAGTCAATGTTAGGTTCAGTTAGATAATGAAAAGTTATCCTGGGCATGTTCAACATGCTCCGTAGTGCAGGCCTCAGCTGTCCATGGACACAGTGATGCTCCGGTACCTGGACTTCAGCTGTTCCTGTGGAGTCTTCTGAGCAGCCACTAGGGGGCGCTGTTCTACAGCACACTGTGTCACTACAGTGTTCACAGTATTCAAAACTACGTAAAGATACAAATGAACTTGTGGCACATTCCTGCATTAAAACCTACCTGATGTTCAGTCAGGTCTTCTCTGGTGATTTAAGACACTGTAACCAGCCTCAGATTAAACTGTGGAAGGATCTGTATCTGAATCATGTGAAGGCTCCTGTCATACAATCAGAGGACACTCTCCTGACTCCACAGCTCCATAGTATCATCAGGTTCAGGTTGTGACTGAGATGAAGCAACATGCTTGTTGAGTGAGTCCAGATCAGGGTCAGCCTGAGACTCTCTGGAATCACTAGAACCAGCACTAAGCCCCACTCTGGTGTCCCAGTACAGACCAGTATGGACGTACAGCAGTCACTACACTTCAATATTTTATAATCACAGCAGCACATTGGTCTTCGGTGTTGTTAACAGCAAACTGTGATTAAAACCAGGTCATCACTTATAATAATAAACAGGTAATGAATTAACATGGCAAAATAATCACTGTCTCTTCAGTAGTTGTACAGACACATGGAAACAACTCTCTGATAAATACATCAGTTCTGAATTAAATAATGAAAAGGCAAAATGTTAAAATACAGCTCTTAGTTTTCTTCATGGAGTCACCTCCACACAGAGAAGAAAAGATCAGATTTATTTTTGTCTGAATAATGAAATTGAATGTGTGATCAGGCTCCAGATCGACCTGTGATTCTGCACCGAGCAGACTGAAAGAATCACGATCAGATTTATTTGTCACTTCCATAATATACACTTTGCATTACGTGGGAGCGTATGACAGAGACACAAATTAAAAACAGAGACATATTTATGTGCAGTGTACAGTAGCTTATAGAACTGAAGTGAGTTAGAAGAGACAGCTGCTGTAACTAAAACACAACTGACAAATCACTGTGTGATTATTCTTCTCTGTTCACAGTCAACACTGAGGCAGCAGATACAGGTATAACAACACGACAACACACAGAACACAGGAAATAACAGGTGATAAAATAAGACACAACACACTTCTTTCTTTCTTTCTTTCTTTCTTTCTTTCTTTCTTTCTTTCTTTCCTTCCCTCCCTGTGATAATTGATCTGTCTCAGGTAAATGACAAACGCTCCATCACACTGAGTCTTAATGGTGGAGTCTCTGTGGTGAGTGCTGCTCACAGAGCAACAGTTCTTCACTTCACACCGTGTTTAATAAGTGAATGTATGATTTAAAGTAAAGTCACGTTATATAACTAGAAACAAACGGTGGAGCAGGTTTCCACTTTAAGGAGTGGAGCAGGTGGATGTTGTTAGGGTGGAGCAGACGGCAGTGAAGGAGGCTATCGTAGGTGTCGTCTCTCTCTCAGAGTCGGTGGAGGACAGGTGAGCCTTTTCTCTCCGCCTGTACATGACATGTAACAGGAGAGGTCGAGATCATACATTTACATTTACTCCTCTGTCAGACTTACAGTGAGGGACATCACTAAAGCTAAGTACTACATCTGTTTAATAAGTGAAGGAGATCAAGTAAAGACCGTAAAGACGAGTCTTCATCAGATTCTTGAAGATAGAGAGAGAGATGCTCCTGCTCTGATAACATCAGGGAACCACAGACCAGAAGAGTCTGGACTGAGAGTGTCTGGGAATGGCAATGGAGGGGGAACGCAGCGGCTGAGAAGGAGCATAAGGCTGAAGGATTGAGTTCAAGTAGATGGAGCAGACCCAGAAGTTAATCTGAAGGCAGCATCAGCGACATGTGACCTTTTAATACCGACGAACACACAGGTGGACACACAGGGGAGGGGTCCTGTGGAGATGGTCTATATATTTATTAGACTCATACAGTTTAAACAGAGCAGAGTGTCTGGATGTGTTAATGAGCAGCAGCATCATATCAGTGGTGGATTTTATACGATTTTCTGCATCAGTGTGATGAACTGAAGATAAACTTGATACACACATGACAGTAGAAGGACATCAGTCTGTAGTAACATACATAAAAACACATAAATAATGAATAATATCTTCAGGATCTCATATGCATAAATTAACATAAATAAAAAATCATCAATATAATAAAAACAGCAACAGCAACTATATGTAATTACACTATATGCATGGATACTTTAATATAAAATTACATCTAATAATCGTTATATATAGCTTTACAAAAGTTAGAAAAAAGTTTTCCAACTGGTTTTCCTGCATTAAAACAATTGAAAACAAATAAATGAATGTATTATTTTAATGAGATGAAGTGTTGTAAATGAGCGGAGGACCTGACAGAGGGGTGGTGGTCTCCCTGGAGCCGGGCCTCCGCTCTCAGTTGCTCCGTATTGACGCGGGCAGCAGGCAGCAGGGGGCTGATCTCTGCCTCCAGAGGTCATCCTCTCCACTGTTACCACTTGTTGCCAAAAGCAGCTCGAGGCTCCGCCGTTCAACACCAAACACACTTCAACTACTAACTCAGACTGCTGCCCGGACCTGGATGCTGAATGCGGAGACCCGGACCCAGGACTGAAAGAAGACTCCGAACCCTCTGATAAATCATTTCGCGCGTCTGACGGAGAGAAGCATGGTTGATAACACGAGTATAGCAACTAAATCTGCGTTGGTAAGCGGCCAGGACTTCTTATTTCTACCGGACTCAGCTGATTGTGTCTGAACGTTTGATTCTGCTCATGTTACACACTGAGACTGTGTGTGTGTGTGTGTGTGTGTGTGTCTGTGTGTCTGTGTGTATGTGTGTGTGAGAGAGTGTGTGTGTGTATGTGTTTGTGTGAGAGTGTGTGTGTGTGTAGCTGTGTGTGTGTGTTTGAGTGTGTGTGTGTGGACAGTTTAACAGTGTTTTAGCTGCTCACTAGAAGTTTTCTCCTCCGTTTGTTTGTTATTGTTTGTTACTGTGAGGTGTTTCAGAACCAGACTCAGATTCCGTACCTGTGTCAGTGTGTGTGATCAGGATCACAGGTAGACCTTGTGTGTTTTCATGGTAAAGTGCCGGTGAGTCGTTACCTACCGTCCTCTCGTCCCACTCCTGCAGCAAGGCTCCTTCTCGTCCGCCGGTAGCCTTCCCCTCCAGGCTCCCTCCGCCTCCTCCCACAGCCCGTTCACCGGCGCCCTGTCCCACCAGGCCGGCAGCGGCGGCATGAAGCTCGAGGCGGTCATGGAGAACCTGCAGCGCCAACAGGCAGCCCGGCTGGCTCTGGAGGAGAAGCTCCGACAGGCAGAGAAAGAGAAGGACCTGAGGTCCATGGTGGAGTCCCAGATACACCAACAAGCCCTGGCGTTCCGCCACTACCAGGCGGCGATGCGCGGCGCCCTGGCCGCCGGAGTGGCCAGCTCGTCCCCCGTGGTGACGCTCCCTCACATGGAGGTCCGCAGGGTGGACGGGGACGGGAGCTCCTCCAGACCGGGCAGCGAGAAGGAGCGGGACGAGGAGGGAGACGACACGGAGGAGCAGGAGATCCTGGACGAGGAGGAGGAGGACGAGGAAGACGTCGGGCTGAACCACTACCACCACCGACAGTCCTCGCTCCAAGGAGCCTGCCTGTCTCCGAAGAGCGCCCCTATGCATCTCATGGCCCGAGTCCCGGTGGCCCCAGCCCGCCGCGCGGAGTCTCCGTCGGCGCAGCCACAGTCCCAGCACCACGAGTGGACTTACGAGGAGCAGTTCAAACAGGTAGGACCGCACTGACCCACTGAGGCTGATACTAATTAGACTGAGACTTTATAACGGCTTTATAAACTGCAACTTAAACTTTTATTAATGGTCTTATTCACTATTTAGTTAATTAATTAATAATAAAAACTTTCACGCTGTGAGTGACAGACTGGATGACAGGCAAAATCCACTGTAGAGGATCTGGATCAAAATCCAGGTCATAAACATTTAAAACTGAATTATGACAAACTAGAAAATAAAAAGACTAAGTAAGGAAACATTAATAATGAGAACATTTCTCCCTGTCAGGCTGTTTGGTTATCATACAGTAATAAATTATGGTGATCCATATTAAGTTAATAAAAAACAGATTTTGGTTGAAGCTCTCTCTCAGAAGGTAGAAGGTCACATGGCTCAATAATTTATTAATTATAATTAAATGCTGATAATTGATCTGTGACACTTCAGTGATTTGTTAACTATTAATAAAGCCATTATAAAGTTTTAGTTTGTATTATACTGAAGGCTGCTCCTCCAGGTTAATGTTCCTGGTTACTGACAGTCAGTTACTGTCTGTCTGTCTGTCTGTTTCCCGCCGCCAGCGGCAGATCTATACTCTCCATGTCATCTCTTATTTATGATGGATCATTTACGGACTTCCCTAAATGTGATGTGTACATTAGTGACTGCATTAGTGCCGCACATTAAAGCAACCCAATGCATGGAAATGCAATTTAAATAGAGGTTGAAACCAATAGCCTCAGTGCAGAGAGAGTAATATGTGGAGGATGGTGAGACGAGTCAGTGGAGCGTCCAGCTTCTTCTTTATTAAAGGTTTATTAATAATCATTCTTATTGTAAGGTCAGTGTGTGTATGAGTGGACAGCTAACAGCAGTTTTCCCTGTTCAGCTTCAGATGGATTTAAAATACACCTCTTACCATTATTATCAAGCTTTTCCTTTAATCTGAAAACACTTTTATTTTCATTACGGCCAGCTTCCTGTGGCCGAGCTGCGTGCTGTGTGTAAAATCAGCCTCCATGCTTCAAAGATTCCTCAGGATGTGCTGTTATTGTGGGGGTCATTTGTATGTAGTCATTCAGTGTAATGGTCATGGGACAATAAAAGGATGCTTATGGCTGCTAGGCAGACAGAGTGGAGCCAGCATGCTAAGCATGCCCAAAGCTGCAAAACAAAACCACATTTGAAGGCAGTAAATGCATCTTTGGAAATAGGAACAAGATGTGGGCTAAATATAAAAAGGCCCCAGTGAGGCGGACCAGTTTTAATCTGATCTCGACCAAAAGGGACCAGTCTGTGTTTACAGTGGCTCCTGAGTAACTTCTGTCATGAGAGTCAGAGCTGGAAGAAACTAAAAATAGATTGAACCTGCTTTTGTTTTTATTTTACATCAGGTTTTTGTCTTAAAACCATTAATTAAAACCATGAGTCAGATATTCAGTGACAGGCTGCAGAGTTCAGCAGAACCTGTAGAGATGAGACTTTAAACATAAAAGAAATTCCTGTGGTGACAGAAAAAGATGCTGAGAGGAGACGACACAAAGACCTGAGGCTCAGAGAGGGAGGGGGGGGCTGCTGCGTGTAGTTTTGGCAGTGGATCAGGAAATGCAGGAAACTGGACCTGGTGGTATTCCCGCCTGGCTCACACCCAAAAATGCTGGGATCTCCCTGTCTGGCAGCGCGTGTGTGTGTCTGTGTGTGTGTGTGTGTGTGTGTGGCTGGGAGTCGGCTTTGTGCCAGACGATTACGACAGAAAGAAAACGGTGGGTTACACACTCCACTGTGTTTCCTCTCTGAAACACGCACACATTATTTACAGGCGTGTTGGCAGGGATATGTGAGCCTGCAGGCGTCTGAGGAGGAGAGTAAACTGTTCACACTCACAGCTCCATCCAGAGAGCTGCGTGGAAATGTGTTTTATCTGCGGCTGCTGACTCATCCACATATCTACAGCGAGTCTCTCTTTTACAGCCTCCGTCCCATGTTTGAAGGCCGCTGGTGAAAATGCTTTGAACTTTTAGTGTCGTCACATTCTGTAGGTTGATTTTCAGTTCACTGGGCTCAAAACTAGTTATGACAAGAAATATCATAAACACTACTTCAGAAATAATCCAGAATGTGTGTGTGTGGTTCTGAGGGAAAATGTTGAACTGATACTGAAATATTCCAAAACTTTTCAGGCTGCTCAGTCTCCTGTTCATTTTTTAAATAATAGCATCATTTTAATGTGTGAACGTTGATGGACAAAGTGATGGAGTCTAATATACACGTGTAGCAATGAACACAACACGACAAACATAATACTAAAACACCAAATACTAAAACAGTCAAAACTCGAACTGAAGTAAACTCACAGAAATCTGGATTATTCATAATGTTTGTGTAGTTTGTGTATATTTTTTTAGATTAGATTTATAGAATGTATTTATTTTTATTTATTTTTATTAAGGAAGCGTGTGCAACATAAATGTCATTATCTGACGCTTTGCACCAGATTATAGCTTCAAGCAAGAATCTGCAAGAGGTGGAGGGATTAATCCTCAATTTATCCTCAGTCCAAGAGACAGAGACACACACTATGTTAATGTGTGCAGTCAGAAACATTACACAACATTTCTCCGTGTTTGTAACATAAGCTCTGCATCAAAGTTCAGTATTAGGTATAATAGGTGTCTGAATTTATTCATTACAGTCAAAGCAGCAGGAGAAAAAACAGGGATTTCAATGTAAAGTTAGAAAATCCTTTAACTGAACTGTTTTCCTTTAGAGTTTTATGATATTTTATTTCGAAATCTGTTGATATAATATTTGGAATGGGAGTGAAAACATCAATGACAGAGGGAACCACTTGCAGTCAAAATCTGGACCTTAACCAAAGTGAACCGACCGGTGTGTGTGTGTGTGTGTGTGTGTGTGTTTCTGTGTTGTGTTGTGTTTTTGGACAGGTCTTTCTCTGTACTGACTGTCACTCACATTTTAAACTGACTGTAAATCATCACAGAGTCATAAGAATGATTTTCCTTTGAACAACATGAACTTGATGAATTTCCCACAGTTCATCGTTGTGACCTCTGTAATTAAAGAGGTGGGCTGTCTCATTGTGTGTAGTAATTCTGTCATTTTCTAGAAGCTTCCTGAGGCAGATGGTGAGGGGATGTTACATGTTGAGAGAGTTGTTTTTTACAGTCTGCGGCGGCTCGTTGAAAACTGGCTCTTCTATACTGATATGCGCCCAAGCAGCTTTTATGTTACTGCTGGAAATCTTCAGGGACAGAGACATGACCCCTCCCTCCCTGAGCGAATGATGCCGTGAACATGTCGGAGTGTGGGCTTGTGTTTGTGGAGCCGCTCCTTCCCGTGGATTGTGCCTCTTCCAGCTTGTTTTTCCAACAACTATAGAAAAGTGTTGGAGGAGGAGGAGCTGCAGCTCTGCTGGTGTATGATTTCACCCCCTCCCCCTGCCACTCAAATCATCCACACTGCAAAAATATCCATCTTCAAACATCGTGGTGCAGCAGTGAGCTCTGTAACGCACATGTTTGTGAAGCAGAGAGGGAAAAAATAAATCTACATGTTACCAATGCAGCTCTGTTTCAATAAAATCAGATGATAAGAAGAACAGACAGAATGACTCTTGGTTTGGTCTCATGGTGAAGATATTTTTTGCAGTTTGGCTCATTTTGCACCAAATCAAATATCAGTCTGAAACTCTTTGTTCCTCATTAATGAGACTGTGAGACTGAGGCTGACTCAGATATCTGAGCAGTACACTGGCTTTTATCTATTTTTTAACACACAAACACACATTTCCTTTCATTTTCTGGTTTGAAAATCAAGTGGAGATCCATCAGAGTGAACATCAAGTCTGGATCAAGCAGGTTCAAACATTCAGCTTTAAAATCTTGGATGAATGAATGGAAGCAAACAGATCTCTGGAATATTATGGTTCACATTTACACAGGAGACGCTGTGAACTGCTCTCCACTGTGAACCGCAGAGAGCGATTAAAGCCACCTCTGTGAATATTCACTCAGTGTTTTTTCAGTCGTTTATTCAAAGGTTTGTCTTGAAAAACAATCAGCCCTCTAATCTGACCCCTCCCCCTCCACCCCTGCACCACCCACTTTAATGTGACCATAAAACCAAGGAGACCCGGGCTGGAAAACACACACACACACACATACACACACATGCTGCTGCCGCACAACTCCTGTGTCAACACTGTGTGGAGACATGAAGCTACTGTAAGACATGTCACTTCAAACGCTCCGCGTGGTGAAGAGCTAGTTTTTTTTTTTTTGTTGTTTTTTTTTTATCGGACGGTGGAGTGAGCTGGAGCGGCGTGTGGGGCCCGGCCCCCTGTTAGGATCTGTGGCTCCTCGTATTCATCTAACAGCTGCAGCGCACTTTAAAATGTGCTCCGTCACTGGAAATGCTTTAATGGCATTCCTGGATTCTTTCAGTGTGTGCCATTACAGTTATATGGTGAAGAAAGGGAGGGGTGGGGTTGGGGGTGGGGGTGCGGGTGGAGAGGCTGTAGAGGAAAAATAGAAGAAGTGATAGGGGGAAAAGGACCTGAACTGTGTCTGTAAGTCCTGGACACTTCATTTTCAGTGCTAATACCTGAGCTGATTAATGGTAATGCAGGAAACTGCCCCAGGGCCCTGGGGACCCCGAAAGCCCAGGTACAGAGTCCCTAATCCGGAGGTACAGGAAGAGTGCAGGTGGACTGGGCTGGTTGTTGGGCCTGAAAAGCCGGTGACAGGGTCAGTAAACAATCATTTCATTAATAAATCGTATCGCCTTCGGTTCTTTAAATAAACTCTGACGACGACTGTGAGAACGTTTATGACTTTTATTCAACATCGACCTCAGAGTCTGTGATCAGCTCAGAGCTACATGATATTATCACAGGTCTGTGTGACCTGGTTTGTGAGTGATGGTATCTCCTTCATGGTTCTGCTGATCCCGGAGCAGTATTTATTCCCTCTCTGTCC